AGAAACAGGTTTTGTTAGAGTCAAGGTGAACTGAATATCAATACTTGAAATAATTTTTGGTCCCAACGTTTTAATCTTGTCCATCCTTAGCCATACTAGTTCATTCCTGGTTTTCACTGAAGTCTGTTCCCACCGAAACAATATTTTACAGTCATCCTCAAACTCACGGTAGTCAGTAGAAACCTGACTACAACGGCAATCATTTTGAGTATTGCGAAACAAAATGCCTGCTGCAGAAAGTACAAAACAGGTCCACTTTTCAAATAAGATTGCGAAGAAGATTTCATCGTTTCTCGACGCGAACTTCAAGGCCCAATCCAGTTTCCTGTACTTTCCAAACCTGGAAATGTTTAAGAAATGAATAAATAAACGTTTTATACCATGAGACGAACTATGTCCAACTCCAGGAAGAGGACTGGCAGCCGCTCGGTCTGCCAAGACATCCAGTGGATCCTACAAGCAAAAAAACAAACACATGAAGTAGGAAATAAGACAATGACGCACGGAGATGTTATTGGCCCTGTATTTACCGACTTTTACTGAGACAAACCTCCGCGATACGAGATGACTGGAATTTCTGCTTGGAATTAATGATTGCAATTTTCTGTTCCAATTGCAGAACATCAACAAAAGTGGAAAACGAATATTTTACAAAGAGGGAGATATTTGGTAGATGATACGAATTTGGAAACGTGAAACCAATGCCCTTGGGATCTCGTGGCTCGTAGCTCTTACATTGAGCTGCGGTAAAATTTTTGACTTCTAACTACAATTTATATCAGTGGACTTCCAGTACCTGCCCTGGGGCTCCTGGCGCTCCTTCGTGGCCAAAAACATCATAAAATAAGCTATTATCCAAGATCATTGGGTGATTTGCAAGCTGGTATTGAATATTTTCAAGCATCTGTGAGTTGTAATCCACTTGTTCACCGATGAAATTTCTGCAAACAAAGAAAAACCATTTGGTTGGCAGAGAGCAACTTTTCTGGAACTGTTAGTATTATTCAAGTAAAGTTTACAGTTATCAGAATGTTATCCTTACAGAGTCTACCGAGACGGATAAAGAAAGTAAAGAACTTTCCACATTGATCAAAGCTTTGTACTTAATGAAACAAACTCGTTTGCTAGAGAATGCTATTCTAATGTAACTCACAATTGTTCTTAAACGAAATAAAAGGGGGAGATATGAGAGCTCTCGAGTATAAGAGCATTGTGATTGGTTAGTTTATGACATCTACCAATATCCCAAGCTCTCAGTTCGAATCTTCATTGGTTTCTTTCCTTATAAACTGGCCAGCTTTGTGCAAGTGCGCGTAAAAGTGGTTTGAAAGTACTACAGGCTAAGTGCTTTTAGTGTCTACAATCTACATTTTTTCCATGAGATCAAAGTATTTTGTTTATAATGCGTGAAAGTAGTCTTTTAACACGACTATACCTCACTGAATTGATTATCTTCCTGAAAAAGCCTCCATATTAAAGAGATGTTTGCTAAATGCCTACAACAAAGAATTACCAACATGCCTGACAAATTGATTATGGCCAACATTACTTTGCTTTTTTTCATTCGATAATGAAATCTCCCCAGAAAAGTGGTCCTAAGCTAGGATCATTCTTCAACCTTTTGTATTATCTTCAAAGCCACAATTGGTATCATTTAAACGTAAAGTTTAATAGAGGAACTGTCTGCCCTAAATGTCACTTGTTCAATCATTTATCATCATTCTTCAACATAGTTATGATAAATAATTACAACAGTTGTGGTGACATTATCTTTCTACATTATCATCCTTACAAGGCTGCTATATTAACTGGATAATCAGTAATACTAGTGGGTAGAAGTTAAAGAGCTTTGAGCAATAACACTTTGAGCTCTGATGCAATATCACTCAGATTTAGCTGCTAAAATCACAAAGGCATGGTAAACTGTCTATAATAAAAGAGTGCTTTTTTATCGCCTGTTCAGGCAGCAACTTAAAAAAATTTGAAATACAGCAATGTGACCTCAACAATTCTACAAAATCCTCTCCAATAAAGGTTGAGCACTACTGAGATGATTGATTTTGGATCACATCCCACTCTGAGCCTTTCCCACAAGCTGAAGTCATCAAAATAGATGTAAATAATTGACCAGGATACAAATATCTGTCAATGGAAGAAGACCCCATTTTTTGTTGGAGGTAAATTTACATTCATGATTTCCCCTCTCACATGAAAAAAAATATCCACAATTTTTTATGGAGGGAGATTTAGCAAATGCTAAAAGCAGACAGGGGGATTTGTTTTATATCTTAGAGAGTTGGCATATACTCTAATGATCACAGAACCTTTGTTCATTTGTAAAAACTTTCTGATCTACCTAGCCATTGATTCAATTATTTATCATTACGGTATTCAAAACACTGTAATAATAAAAATCTCGTCAGTGGATCTACAAAATGACACTACCTGTCTGTGCCCATATCTTCCTGAGAAATTCTGCGCATCAAAGGAATATTTCTTAAATTGTGCTCATCGTACGGTTGAGAAGGTTCCATGACATGAGTTGGGTGAACAACAGTTGTCTGATTCTGCTCCTCTGGAAAAGTCACCACACCTGTTGAAAAACATGGCTGTACCACTGAAGCTTGTGGGTATGTTGGTGCTGAAAAAGAAAAACGAAACAAAAATGACCTAAAGACTTTTAGACTTCAGATAGAATTATTCATTTTGAATTGAAGCTTTAACCTTAACCTTGACCATTTACACCCTAACATCAGTATGCATATTCTCCATATTGTTCTCCATACATTTTAAAGGTGCTAACAAGGAGAATTTGTTTCACAATCAGGAGCTTCTTTACTAGGTGATCATTTCCTTTATTCTTGTGACCTTTATGTTTCCTTTGAGAGTGACGCTGTAAAGGAAATTAAGGCTTCAGTGTGTATGTTCCTCAGACTCTAGGGGTACAGTATTTTCTGTTAATTAATTACCTGCTGATGACACAGGACTGGACACAATAGGCTGTGAGGATGGTACAGATTCCTCTGGAAATCTGACAACTGGTCTAGCATGTGAGATATTGTCCTCATCTGGTAAAGCAGTAATCAATGGCCCACTAGTGGCTTCAAAGGGTTACAAAAAGACAATGGAAAAGAGGTTAACATCAATAATAACAATAGTAGTTTAAAAACAAGTAAATAAGCTTGTCGTTGTGTTAAAAACAAAATTTATCAATATTCAATTTTAAACTTACAAGGAATGCTTGTGGAAGGTGTGTTTGAGATATCAGATATTGTGAGTGTCTGTGTGCTCGGCTAAAAGAACACAAAAAAATAATAATCATCAATTAAATAAACTTCAAGTCAAGATAACTTTCTGCAGTTATTTCTTTCTGTAGTAATCTTCATAGATTCTCAATCAAAATTTTCAATAATAGCTGGTTTGTCACAAGACCTACTGCTTGTAATCAGCTGACAACCTCTTTACAGGCTTTAAATAAACTTTGTCAGACTGATTGCAGTATCAAACTCCTGAATTTGTTTAATTAAATCAGATGAATTCGAAGAAAATATAAAGTATGATCAACATTGACAGAAAACAATACGAAAGAAAACAGATCTGTGAAAACATTAAATCTAAAAATTTTCAGAACAAACATGCCAGTGGACTCCAGTAGCATTCTCAAGCCTTTTAGGCTCAGGATAAATAATTACAACCTGCCTACCTGCCTGAGACAAAAAGAGAAGCTAAAATAGTTTTTTAATGGGCTGTTATTCTCCACAGTCCCCTTAAAAAAAATTATCTTTGGTTACAGACTGAGATGTATAAAGTACATGAATGTTGACATAAACATTTGTGAAATCAAAGGGGCTGACAAATGTTCCCTCTGAAAACTTGACAAAAGATTTCCTTCTTCATCAAAAACTCACTCTTTGAGCAGAATAACTTGGTGGTGGCTGGCCACTGCTGGGACCTGATGCATCTCTGTACTCGTATCTTCCTCTCTTCGATGACTGCTCTTCTGTGCTGTCTTGTAACATCAGTCTGCAAGGAGCAGATGAAAGATTGAAGTTAATCATTTGCAAAAATGTCAGTGGAAGAAAAAAAAAAGTTTTCCCCAAAAGGAGCAAAATCTTAAGCCTTCCTACTTTTTAGTGTGATGTTCTACAGCACATCTAAAGAGAACTCAGGTGAGTTGCATTAGATACTAACTTCAAAGGTAAGAGCTGGTCTTAAAAAAATATCTATAATTGTAATATCTGTATGTGGTAAGAATTGTGAATGACCAACAAAAAGCAAAACTTTCCATGCATAATGGAACCTAATTGGGAAAATACGAAATGTGAATGAACTTTAACACCCGGGTTAAGGCACCAAAAATAATACTTACCGTTTGCGGTTTGCCAGCTTGTCATTTTGATAAATTAGTCGCATCAAATACTGGAACAACTGCAATTTAAAATCCTATACATTATCAAACATCACAATAGCTTATAAACAGACAAGGTAATAAACATCTCTTCTTAAAATTTAAATTGTAGTAATATTGTAGTAATGGAATCTCTTTAGTTTATTGTAAAATCTCTTTAGTTTATTGTGGTAATCAAACTTTTTTAGCTTGCAATGTGTAGTATTTACTTATTTATTTCTAATACCTGCCAAGACTAGCTAATGCTATACGTGGGTTGTGTAAATTTGCTTGTAATGTTCTGTAAAATAATAAACAACAACAAACAACAATTGTTTTTTAATCAATTCTTGACTCGTTTTTTCAGTCCCTCTCCTCACCTTGTTTACAATCTGCTGTTGCCTTTGATGTTTTTGTCGCAACTCTACCAGCTCATTCCACAATGTAACATTTTCTCTGTAAACAGGAAAGAGAAACAATGTTTGTATCATCAATTAACTACCTCTATTATAGTACTTGTTTGTAAAACAAGCTAAAGGAGATAATTTGCTTATCTCTAAAGCTGCTAGACTTGTAATTATTTCAGTAACATATACAGCAATTTATTTCCAGCAAGTTATTAGCACTATGTTCACAAGAAATTCCTGTTGCTGCTAGAAAAATAGTGATCAGATGGTCACCTCTTAATCTGATCAAGTTTCACTGTCATTTCATCTTGTCTCCCTTTCATATCTTGAACATCATTTAGCACTTTAGACACATCCTCAGACTTCATTTTCTTTTCCTCGGGTGTTGCCTACAGAATAAATGCAACAAATGTAATTATCTCCTAGTTAACAAGGCTTCTGACTATGTGTGGATATCATTGAGAAGTTCTCTCAAATTGTCTAAAAGCAGTTGGCACAAAAGCTAGCTGACGGTAGCCCTAGTGAACACTGATTCAAATATACCTGATTAACACAAATTTGATTGACATTGAAAACCACACTGTTCATTCAATAACACAAGAAACTGCTAGTACTCATACTTTGAGGGTGAAACTCGTGTAAATAATCACAATAGTATTGTTTCAAATTGAACCAACAGCACAAGCAGCAAGCATTTTTCCCAGCCACACATTTCTGTAGCACTGGCTACCTGAATCAGTGAAATACCTGTCTAAGCAAAATTACAACCTTTGCTAGCTAGTCTGTTTTTTATAGCTGGTGAACTAACAAACAAACTCAACAGAGAACACCTCATCACAAAGAAACCTGTCTGCTTGCTCTTAAAGCTAATTCACAAAATATCCAACCAATCTCAGACCTTAAAAGCCTAAATTGGAAAAGTCATATTCATTGGACAGGAAAAAAGTTTAATATGAAGGACACTTCAAAAAATCATTGTAGATTTTCTAGTGGTGCCTGCAACTCAGTTAGTACTGTGGTGGCTGTATCATTGAATCAAACTCTGGACAAGAGCCTTGGGAACAAGGCTCCAGGCAACAACCCAGTTAAGAGCTTACAACCTCCACAAATATCAGTCAAGTACCTCGCATGTACTCTCTAGGGTTTATGCAAATTAAGGTAAAAAATTACAGGGAAAACAAACCACCTCTTCAAGTTTGTACAAACCTTTCTTTTGACATTCTCAAGTAATTCAGGATGATATTTGTTGAAATTGTTATTGAAAAATTCCCATTCGTCTTTCTCAGATCTAAGACCTCCTTGTTCAGCACCAATTACTTTACGGAATCCATCTGATCAAAATTTAACACAAAAATAACAATTAATCATCTAGTCAGGTGTGGCAATTTTGATTATGCAACCTACCATGTGCTACAGCCATTTCAATATTGTGCAAACCTCATTAAGTTTATGCAGCTGAAGTAAACAATCTACTTTGAACGACCAATCTAGACTGAACTCTTAAACTTGAATGCTGTAGTATTTTCTGTTTTTCTTAGAAGAGCACGGGGAACTGATGAGCTGAAAAGCTAATAACAAGAATGTCAAAATTTGTTCTTCCATTTACCTGACAACATTCTTGAACCCCCTTGGAAAGTTTAGTTTCTCTCTAAGAATAGCAATTATTTAACTGTTAAGGGAGGAAACAAGAGGTGGGCTTTGTGCATGTGCTGATTTGGTAGGTACTGAGAAAATGTTCACTTCAAATAATTGTTCAAGGCATAGTCCACATAACTATTTAGGTTTCACTCCCAATTACGAAATACAACAAACTGAAAGTACATTCATAAAGAAAATCAATCGATTTCGGACCCAAGAAATTTCTTCAGATCTGCTTTTGTTTGAAAACGAGGAAAAAAAAAAACAACCCTATGAACAGACTGAACAGAAAGGTCAGTATCATATTTTTTGAAAAAATAATTGCATCGACTTATAGCTAACTGAAAAGATTTTGAAAAGGCAGCCTAGGCGAACCTCTTGTTGTAGGGGAAACCTTGTGCATTTCGTACATTGGCACGATCAATTTCAACCCCAAATCGACGTTGCCTACCATACAAATGTTATGCATTGTTATTTCCTGTAAACATTTTACTATTGCACCTGAGATTCACATAAGCAAAAGCGGAAAAATCCTAGAAAGTACAAACACGTAGGCACAGAAATTGATCAAACTCTGTTAGAAGCTATCAATCAATTAAACCGGAAAGCTACCTTCATGTAAGTAGCTAAGCATAACTCTGCGTCTTCGCCCACGCCGTAATAAATACAGGGAAAATAATAGGAATACAAATTCACACATTACGCACATTCTTTTGAATAAAGGTAATAGCTCAGATTCTATTTCAAAGAAATCTAAAAGTGGGCCGCAAGCTGTTCGCAAGATTCTTCATCGATATTAAGGTATACGTAGTAACTCGAAATCGATGTATGTTGAGGATGCTGAAACTATCAAACCTTGAAAACCGAAACTCTTGAATACAGGAAGATAATCAAAAGCCACAAGACCCAGTGAATTATTTTTAAACATATGGTACTTACACATATTCAGCTGGCGGACGAAGCTTGCAAAGTTGTTGTGTTTGAAATACTTTGGAAGTATCTCGCGTGCAAAAGTAGCTTGATCGTGTACCAGAAATCCGGTTCCATTCTACAAGGAAAAAAATCGTAAGGTCGAAATCTTCGTTTAAGCCTCAATTATCGAGGAAAAGGATTTTATTTACTCGTTGCAAGAGTATCGGGTAGAGATCTGTGGTAAATAAGCCAAAGAATTTGTCGCGAAGCGATTGTAGTGAAAGAAAGATTTTCCACCTTGTTCCACGAAATGTGTTCTTCATATTGTGGATCTTCAACCAACTTCCACAATTTCACCAAAAAAGCCGGGACATTAGATGGAATACCACTCGAATCTCCGTCTCCAGTCTTCATCGGCATTTCTTTTCTAAAATCACACCAGACAATAAAGCTTTCTCGCAGGTTACGTGCTGAAAAACAAGCGTAACTTATCAGGCGGTTCACAGATCAGCCATATTCCTCAATCCCCCGCGCGCAAGCTTTATATCCCCTGAGACTTCCCAGTACGCTGGGGCCTGGGACGGTTCACAGTGGGCGTCTTTGACCTTCAGAGAAGTAAACAGCTTTTCCGCAGCATTGCGGTGAATGTGAAATGTCAATTGATGTTCTATATTTAGAAATTCAAATCTTCTAGTCTAAATCGGCCAACGAATCTTTCTAAAACTACGGTTCAGTCTGTGACCTAGGCGGGTGCCTTAGTTGACGTCATTGGGGCTGGTTGTCATGAGAACAGAGGGGCAAATAATCAAACGGTCTGGATCGAGAACGTTCTACACTGTCCTCGGCCCACGTTTTCCCGTCACTGAGTGTTCCAGAGAATGTATCTGAATCTACATATTTAACATAAATTTGCAAAGAGTTTGTTGACTTTCAGAAGAGTTGAGGCCATAAAAATGTCTTAATTTTCCAGAAGATTGATGGGGAAAAGTGCTTTTCCAGAAGGTGTAATAAGTAAAATGTCCCTTCCTCGCCACTACTGTTTTTCTCTGGTCTGAGTCGTGCACAATCGCTCTGTTCAACTCTGTCACGCGAGAAATTCCTTGTGATAATGTCAATGTATTCAATATTGTCACTGAAGTGAAAGGAAACTTATCAAATAAATTAAAATAATCCCCGGTTTTGTGAAAGGCTAGTGTTCCAATTTCTAACGTCCCCATTATCAACGAATAACAAAAACATCCATTTTCAGTCACGAAAAAAAATTGGGTGTAAATTCTGTAAGTGTATTCTGGAAAATGTTTTTCTCTTTTTTTACGATTAAAATCAAACACCAATACAGAACGGGGTTTTATCACGGTATTATGCAAATTTGCACAATTCTTTCCGGAAGTGAAATAAACACCGCGATATAATAGCTAACTTCGTAAGTCACGCAAGCCGAAGGTTCTCGAACGTTCATCGCCCCTCGTAACGCGTGTTGTTGTTAACAGAACGTTCTAGAACGTTTTCTGTCAGTCGAACTCTTCCGAAAACTACGTCATACAGTTGATGAGTAACAGCGTGAAAGGTTAATCGATAAGAAGTGTTTTTGTCGAACGAAAAACATCGTACGATTGAAAAATATTACAAAGCATTTCGGGACTAAATCGACATGAATTCGAAAGTAAGGTGGTTTTCAACATATTTTTGACAGTCAAAAAAGTATTCATCACATTTGTGACATTCGTGCATCATACGTATTGTAGATGAATATGTGTCAATACTGTCTGGAAATTAAATAAAGGCGAAATGTGAAATGGTCGATTGAATAATGACATTAAAAAACTAACAGTTTGTTACGAATTCTGTTAGCTTAGAAACGCCTTTTTACTTTGGATGTCAGGTGATCTGACTTCCTCGATCGACAAATAAATTTGGGAAAAATTAGCTTAAATCGAAACGTCTATCTAACATTTTGTCGGAAAACTTCAATTTAAAGTGCTTTCTTAAATCAGATTACTACAAGCGACAAATTTATGAATGACCCAACAAGATGGAAAGTACGTTGCGCTCGAAAGCACGTCTATGTAAACATTTTCCACTCAAAATTTCCAGACTTTTTCCCTTTTAAATTTGATATTTTATTACACATAGTATATTTCTAAAGACTTTAAAAATAAATTACCGACGATACGGTTAAAAAATGTCTTAAGATAACTGTACCTGTTGCGAGAAGTTTCTCTGTTATCCTATCTTTAGAGTGGGCGCGTATGTTTGGACACGAAAACGTCACAACTGTTACGTAATTATCCTAATCATTTTATAAAATCTTCGAGATTTTGCGGGGTGCTTCTGATTTTTCATAATATGAACAGCAACTCTTTGCCAACAGTTGGCAGAATGTACACGCGGAGATAATTTGTTAGAATTTGCAGTGCGCGAGTCGACCCAAAGAACATGAGAGGTGAGTGCTTCTCAAAGGCCATACGGTGGCCCATGTGCCCATTGATTTTGAAATCGAACCCGTAGATAAGGGGATATTTTTTATTTCATACAAGCACGATTTGTCATCAGAGGTGCAGTACTCACGTACACGATGCTATCTTTGAGGTGGATATTTACAAACGTGATTTATTCGCGACGTGAAAACAAACTCTCGCGTGTTATTCGCTATAGTAACGCTGATGTGCAGCAACCATATATGACTAGCCATGGATTACGGTTAGGAGGGAGTAATCGTTTTTTTTTTTTCAGGTATCGGTCAAAACTTTGTAAACAATTAAATTGATTTACATGTATATTTAAGCCTGACAAAATTGGCTGAAGTTATTTTGCAAGGTCCAAATTAAAATTTGTGTAGATTATCAAAAGAACTACTGGATGCTCTGTGTAAATTGCAGTACGAGTGTTGGTCAACTATTTTAGCGGGTCCAGTATCATGTATGGACCGGATGGTTATTTTCTCCTTCAAAATTTTTTTTTTATCTTACTGAATTGAAAATGCGAAAGCCTCTTCGGTAAGGGAGCCTAAAATCAGCTAATTTTTCTCATCATCATTCTACTGGACTACACAAGTAAACCTTGCATTGTTAGGTCGCATGGACAGAAGCACAAACCCAAGTTAACAAGAGTATTTTGACATGTGTAGCAGTTTAACTTTCCAGGGGCACAGGTTACTGGCTTCAACTCCACAAGAACCGAAGGAAGGGGTGACATCCCTGCTTCTTGTATACTCCTATCAGGAACTTGAGGTGAGTCTTAATTTCTTATTGAAGAGAGTTTGAGAGCTCTTAGTAAACTAAACGTATTATATGTCTGTATACATTTGATATAATCTTTAATTCACAAAGTTTGAAAAGGGATGTTTTTTAAAGAGTAAACCATAGTTTCTAGGCTAACCGATGATGATAAATACATTCCTGTTTGTGAAGTGAGAACTACCCGGCTAAACTTGTTTTGACTGATTCGTGTATTTTTAGTACGCAGACTTGAGAGTGTATAGCCATAACCTATCATAACAAAGAGGCTTTCAAAGTCGCTCGCTGTTTCGCTAAAGTCGATCAGATTGTTGTTCATATTTAGGAGGGTTATCCTGCGTTTAAAATACCGGAGAAGTTTGATTTGGAGCTCAGAGGGATAGTTTGCTATGAATAATTCATGCATGAACAATGAGTAGGGTGCATCAAAGGACTTTTCGTTTACCTTCCTCCTTAAGCTAAAATTCCGCCTTTAATACGAGATTTTTTCATAGATGCCGAGCAGAAAAAAAAAAAAAAAAAACCGGAGGCCCTGTGCGTTAATGCTTTTTTGTAGTCGTTTTGGAGCACTGTTATGCGTGGTTTTATTCGAAGCTCGAAGCTTAAGGTGTGTTGCAGGCTATATTTAGAACGTTTGAGGGTTTTAAGAGGCTCTTGCTCGATGGGACTTTACTCTTAAAAGATTTTGAGTTCGTTATTGCTTCACGATGTATTGTGCGACAGATTCCGGAAAAAAAAATCTCTTTCTTTCGCGTATGTCTTTGTTTCCTTGTGCGAGAGTAACCGTGATCGTCTCAGTGAGCACCGTATCAAATTGTGTTCTATTCGATAAGATCTTATAATTTTCCATGCTGTTATAATAAGGGAGTAAACATATACGTCTCCCAGCTAAACTTGCTGTAAGTCTGACTGAGATTCGAAGATGCAACCGAGCTGTGTTTGATTTTGTGGAAGAATGTCGTAAACTGAATGATTCTTAATGAGATAATAAGAACTCTGTCGAAAATTATACTTGAACTCGAAGCGACTAAAATGAAGCCAACTGTGTTCTGCAAGTTTAGCAGGGAGTTGTCAAATATTTGCCTCGTCGATTTCGCTTCGATGGAGCATTCGAATTTTGTATCCGGAGTTCTTGGCTATGTGTGTATTAGTGTTAGATGTCTTCTCCCAGACGACAAATCCCGGCCCCTTGCAATTGTACTTTTCTCTCTTCCAGTGATGACCGCTTAAGCACTTGAATTCGTTAGCTACGAGCTGCTTCAAAGCATCCCTGATGAGATTTTGGTAATAGGTTAGCCTTAACTGAGTCTTTGTAATGAACGGTCGAAATTTAGCGAGGCCTTACATACAGGGGAGAGCGATCGGTTTGTAAGACTGCGGTATGTTTGGATGTTTTACACGATTTTGCTGCAGTGTTTTAGTTCCGTGCGGCTAATACATGCCGCTGTCGCTCAAAATTACAAGTATACACTTCTAATCGGAAAATTTCAGGTGTTATCTCTCCGAGGCCGCATAAATGATACTTACCTAGCGAGTAAAGTGACTTCTGTCCCCTCGAGCGCTCTAGAACAATCTGTGTCTCGTTGCCTACACGTACACGACGCTAGCCAGCATACACCCTATCACACTAATGTGACGCAGACGCAGTAAAGAGTCTGGGGGGTTAATTGATGCTACTCACCTGAAAGATGAAGGGTTTCTTTTTTAAAGCAACCTCTGTTAAACAGTTGATGACTCATCGTATGTTCAAGTTAATAAGTGAAATTGCTTGCAGTGATAAAGTTAAAATGTAAGGTAGTTTTCATCGCTTTGGTGAAACATTAAAACTTCAGGTCTCTGCGTTTTTACAAGTAGGATGCGAAGGACAATTCAAAACTCTTAGACTAAAATGAAAAGAACGGTACCTATTTCAAAAGAACAACCTCATTCAATCATTTGCGTGAATTCCGATACTTGCTAAAAAGATTCGCGGTCCAGTTTGTATCATTCTTGCCGCACTTGTCTCTAAATTTATTCCCCTTGTGTTATAAGCGCCGCCAAACAATCAGGATTTCTGCAGCTGCCTAAAAGGTCGTGATGTACACAAAATGCCTCGAACTTTCAGACACGCCTGCTTTTACGATGAACACACTATTCAGCAAAGAACCGAGTTCCCAAATCCATTTATATATAAATCTACGAAGACCATTCTGTGCATTGTGAGTTTGTTTGGGGTCTTAACCTTTAGGAAAACGGGTTTTAACACAGCATATTAAAAACTTGGTATCAGCGGCAATATCAAAATGGAAGAAGAAGCGAATGACCTTGGCTAGGTTATAAATATCATTAAAAAAACCCTTATTTAACGGTTGATAAACAGATTAGTTTTGGGTAATAAATATGTTTGAAATTAAACGTAGGATGCAAGAACAATATTTTCTAATGCAGTAAATGGCTTGAACCCGGGGGTAANATGTGAAGGTGTAGTCTGATCGTCCGGGTGAGTGTAGTCCTGAGAAGGACTGTAGTCGGTGGTAGTGACTGACGTTTCGACAACCTGTGCGGCGGAAGTCATCATCAGAGTCAAGTGAATGATTGTTGTCAGTAGAATGACTGACAACAATCATTCACTTGACTCTGATGATGACTTCCGCACAGGTTGTCGAAACGTCAGTCACTACCACCGACAACAGTCCTTCTCAGGACTACACTCACCTGGACGATCAGACTACACCTTCAAATATTTTCTAAAGAATTTCCCAGAATCTATCTAGGGTGTACTTCATTTCGTAACAAAACTAAAAGGATCAGAAAACAATTCCACACGAGGGTACTAATTGATTTCTTCTCAGCTTTTACTGAAATATTTTTCCATAATAGTTTCAGTTTTTGTACAGCATTTGGAAAGGCTGGTAATTGTAACTCAAACATGAAATTACAAAGAAAGACTAAACTCGAAATCCAAGTTCTGGAGCGAAGATGCTGCGACCTGTTTCAGCCTGCCATCTTGAAGTGAGTCTCAGCACAAATGCAAACTGGCAAAGTCGCTATGTAGAAGCTATGTTGTAGTGAGTTGGCTACTTTACCACGATTTTACCCAGGGGCTTCCATGAAAACCGGTTTTCGGCGGCCGTGTACGACGGACCACAAATCAGACCTTTTATCAAGTTCTGTTTAACCTGCAAGCACAGCGCAGGTTCTCGTGTTTCGCCCCAAGGCCTCCGGCTTTTCATAACACAGTCACCTATTACGCCATCGGCAGCCGCTTACAGAAAAGGTTGTGGAAACCCTCCTTTTACTGTAAAACGGCCTGTGAAAGATGGGCTTACTCCTCAACAAAAGATGCCACGAGATTATGACTGCTGAAGAATATCTTTTCACGCCAAATTACTGATAACCTCACACAACTCAGTCTAGTTCCTTCCCATAGAACTTAAGTTACGTACCACACTTTTCATACGGAACATGAACACTACCTGATTACATGTTAGGCTTAACATGGAACTGAGTGATGAGTGAGTTCAAGCCAGATTCATGACGACAAAGAGAATTAACGGTACTTTTTACAAAGAAAAACGTCCGATACATCATGTGGAGGCTTCAAGGATATAACATCGTTTTTCTGCAGACAAATACTTGTTATAAGACTTGTTTCATATCTGGTTTTAGGTTTTTTTTCATTCCCCATTTAGCATTAAAACTGACATATAGAAGAATAATAGTTATCGAACATGTATCTAGGTATGATAATCTTTGTCACAGTGTGTATGTTAATTGAGTTGCCTGTGATGAATTCTTGGAAGATGGACTGAGAAGGAGGTGAGATAAACTTTATTTCAGTCGGTCATGATTTCAATCGTTTGTTAACGTCTGAAGATTCTTTCCTTTTTTAAGATTGTGTTCTCTTGTTTATATAGCGCCAGTTTAAGTGCTTATTTTCTCAGCCAGTTTCAGTCAAGTTTGTATTCCATTCATTGCTGTATAACACATCATTTTAGTCCTACAACTTAACACAAGAAGCATCGCATTGTTATTCATGGTAACCAACAAAGTAAATAAAGATTTATTTGTTCTGTGAAAAAAACAGAGTGAATTTCTTTGACTTTAAGTTCGATATAATTTGTCAGTAATTTTACTGTAACCAAATCAGTTCTGGGCTAGCTAGTACCCCCTTGAAACTGATGGTTTTGTAAAATAAAAGTGAAAACTGGGAAATCATCGGTGAAATTGTCTTGATAATCTCCTTCACAAACACACCTTACTAAGTGAACGGTATAACTCTTCTTTATCCTTACCAATGGTGACTAAAAATTCTTATTTCTTCTTCCGAAGATCTGATTCGTAATTCTCCTTTCTAACTGTCACATATTTCAGTGTCACGATTAGTACAGAGAATTAGGAATTATATCTCGTCAACAGCTTTTTGCTGAAAAGAAGTCTA